CTTCAATGCTAGCATGGATATATATTTTTTGAAGGATAATTGTTTAGCGAGATGGTTAACTGATGCAAAGCCAAAGTACACAACATTTCAAAGAAGGAAGTCTTCAATGTACTTCATAGAAGGAGAAGGGGGGGGGGGTTTCGCACAGCAGAGCATTTTGTTTGTTTGTTTATAATTAAGCACAAAGCTACACAATGGGCTATCTGTGGCTATCGAAACCCGGTTTCTAGCGTTGTAAGTCCGCAGACATTCCGCTGTGCCACGGGTGGGCAGAGCATTTTGAATAGAAAAGAGCTCATAAACCGCACACAAACCAATCCAGGAAATGAACTTTATCCGTATACTAACAAAACTATATTTAAAAAGAAAACTCTCCAATGTAAAAAAAAATAACATTACCATAAAACTGAGCACATCCACTGGTACCGTTAAAATAAAGATAAACAAGAATTTAAACTTGTCAAAGGCTCATAAACAAGGTTCACAAGCTTCCAGCCACAATTCGAAATCAACAGTTTTTTTTGTTTGTTTTTTTCATGAAAGGAATTGCTGAAGAAACTGAAATGACAACATTACCATTCGACCACGTACTTATCAAATCCTCAATGCATCTTGATTGACTTTTATGACAAATATTTTAAAATCACGGCTGAAAATATCATTAACAGCAAATGTGTATAAGACGATCCTATGTATAAAACAACGCTGTTTTTTTTTTTGTTTTATTTTTAGCAAATTAGGTGTGTTTCTTTGTGGTTAGGTATATACAACGACCTCTATTGTCAAGCAAGTCTAAGATGTTGCTTTTGTAAATAAATTCTTAGAAGTTATTTCTAAACTGTACTAACCTGCATTCTGGGGTGATCAATACAACCATAAATGTGTTTTTTTTTGTGCTCTTCAAACGCTACAGACAGCTCAATGAAGCATAACTCAAGTCACAAATATCTAACAAACAACTTTACAAAGTTTTCATCACAGTTGAATTCCTTTTTTATTACAAAACAAGAGGGATTCCTCAATAGCCGCGTCATTTGAAATTCTTTTAGGCAGGATTATAGTAAGTTAATCTACGAGACCTCCCCCTCCCCTTTTTATTACCTATGTTTTTGGGCGCCAGCAATACCAAGTGTGGGGCGTGCATGTGTTTTTCAAACAATCAACCAATT